GTTTTAGTTTGTCGAGAAGACAGATGGTAAAATTTCAGCTATATACATGCTGTATATACGAAGAAAATGTGGGTTCTTACTGCGTTAAACAGGTCACACCATCTTGGTCTTCATACTTACGACCAAAAATTGACTCCTAGCGCTTTTATATTAATCGTAAATATGAAGACCAAGATGGTGCTGCTGTAGGTTTGGCTACATTCTCCTTTAGTTAGAATTGCTTCATTTTGCATCGAACCAGCATGTGACTATGTTATATTCTGGAACCGAAGTTGGTATCGTCATTGAGAGGCTCTATTCTTAGCTTCGGATTACAATTCATTGAAGTGACAGGTAAGGAAAATCTATTTAATCGATTTTCTTGATCTTTATCTTATGAATATTACTACTTTCTGCCGGCTTTACATATATTTTTAATTTTACCACTCATTGCCTTGTACATTCAACCTTTTGTAAGAGCATGAGCGACGCGAGAGCTTCATCATGACTAGTGAATTTCTCTCAGGCCTTGATCAAGGCTTGTCGAAAACCCCTTTCCAGAGAGCCCTACTTCGCGCACACATGGATCTAGCGGCTTCATTTCTATCATCCACTTGTCCAACAATTACCCTCTGCTCCGGTGATAATAGCGTCCACGTCGGGGACGTTGACGTTACAGGCTTTACTCCACCTTCGCATAATCACTTTTTGACTGCAGAAAATCAGGATATTGGGTTCAAGAGCTCTATCTCATCTGATGCTGCTCTCCTTGATGATCATAGCTCGTTTCCCTCTCGTTCAGGCTGTGTCTATGATACCCATCAGTCCTGCTGTTCATCCAGACCAGCAACTCCTCGACACTCCCAACAATTCCGGGTCCCTGATACGGGCTCCTTTATCGAAACGCCAACCAATATCCCTTCCACATCTTCGGCAACACTCTTTTACGATAAGTCACAACCAGTTGAAATACCAAGCGAAGTGATTTCTCACCCACTAGCTGGCCATTTCAATAGATCATTATCGCCACAGACGGCTGGGGCACAACTCTTCGTCCAGCCAGAACAGATGCGTACTGTTGAACAGTCAGCGACTGGCCTCGGCTCAACGAAAATAAACGTTCGCACCTACGATCCGGCTGATGTTGCCGAGATGCTTGACATTTCTATCTCACATAAGGACTATCAATTGCTCACCGATCCTAGCCTAGTTGACTACGTAACTGATGATGTCACAGAAGCCATGCTGATGCAAGAGTACACTAGCTCCCGGAGTCGTCTGCCAATTCCACATCAACAACCGAGATCTTTACAGGCGTCCCGGGCTATGTCAGAACAGCCCTCTCAACTTAATTTAGCTGCTGACAACGAAATCGCGACCAACTGCACCCCCAATGAGACTAGTAGGTGCCCAGAGTGCCGAAATAGCTATCATGACCACCGCAGATGCTTGGCTGCTCAGCGATCTTGTTTAAAAACCTCTGCAAATCAACCTACCGGTAGCAACCAGTTTTCTCGTATCCCAACTTTATTCAACTGAGGGTATATTTTCACGCTATTTTGTCCTGCTCTGTTGTTTCACTTTTGCCTCCAATTTTGGTCCATCTAAACAATAGAGATCTTCTTTACTACTTTATCTAATTCGTATTCTATACTTTTCCATTTTCACGCTTGATAAGATAATGTGCAGATATCTTACTTTTGATGCGTTATTGTGCACTTACATTTATTTACCTCGGTGATAATTATCAAATTGTTTATTGTGCCAGTGGCGCTGATTTAGCATCCCTGATTTATACTTTTGTGAAATATTTTTAAAGTTCTGTCTTTTGCCTCAAGATCTTTCTCCAGATTATTTTACTTAACTGCATGTTATTTTACAATTAGACGCTTATTCCCAGTATCTAGACTGCTAGTCAGTCAGTGTATAGCACAACACGTGCTGTGTGGGACAACTGCTCTTTAACTTTTCTTATTTTTCGTCAATATGGCCTACTGAAACTTCGCTTTTATGTTAATATTGATAAAGCCTCGATACAATACTTGTCGGCCATTCTGTCATTACCTTTTTACATCCTTTCATCTATGCTTCATTTTGGCGGTTGAAAATGCATCTGTGTTAACTCCTACGAATCCACTTGTAAGTTTCGACTCGGTAAAGGTCAGCGCACTCAGGTAATTTCTTTCAAAGCATGTCTCGTTGAGATACAGAACGTCTCGGGTCATACCGAACATACCTCACCTAAATAAACCGGAAAGCATACAAGGAAAGATAATTTTTGGCTCAGTCCAATTGTTTTCGGCCTACCATCGGATTTTACAGCAAATTCATTCGGTCATCACTCACCTGGTTTACACATCTCAGACATTTCTTGCATTAGATATAGGATTTCAATGTTGGTATAATTGCAGCTGCTATGCACGTTTCACGTGCGTAGACAGTACTAGATAGCTTGTTTATGCCTGTCTTATATGCTTTTCTCCATTCTCCCGTTCGTGCTCTAGCTTACAGACAGGTAGATGGATTTATAAGCACGCTAAAATGAGACGACATCTTGTACTATAAGCTGAGAACTTTGAAGAAGGAATCTGAGTTTTAGCT